GACAGCTTGTGCAATTCGAGATCCCAACAGACGAAGAGGAGTTTGAGAATATTGTTGATGATGAAATTGTAGTTAGCGACGATGATTACTTCAATGATTATTTTGATGATCATGATTGTTTTGTCTGATTTTTCCCTCAAGCTCGGGGAATTGTGAGGTTATAGCTTGATCCAGAACCAGCTCGACTCAACTGATTGTCGGACCTAGCATAAGCTCGTCGAGTTGTAGCTCGACCTAGCATAAGCTAGTTGCGACCAATCCTTATAGTTGTTCAACCAATTCATAGACAACTTCAGATCTTAGGTATCTTGGAAAGGATTAGATCGACAACAATCTTTGCGCAATCATAGTGCTCAATCGCGAGAATATCGGAGTTGCATTTCAAACTTAATTGTAATGTCTTTATTTTCGCTCTTTCCTTTGTACAAAATCTATATATAAACCCCTTCAACGATGAGAAAGGGGTTAGCAAATTATTCTAGGATTGTCATTATAAGCTCTCACAGCAAATACAAAAACAGTGGATGTAGGTTCAAGAGCATAACTGGCCGAACCACTTTAAAAACTTTCTTGTCATTTACTTTACTGCATTTTCCGTTTATTCATTGCTGGTTACCCGTAATCACGCAAACATCAGTTTCGATCCTGTCAAGAACTCAAGGTTGATCGGATCGCTCTAGTTGGTGTATTCTTGCATCAATATTTTGACGCTAGAAGGAGGGCTTCCGCCAAAATCTCAGAATTTATGGCAAACAACCCCAGTGATCTAATCACTCAAGGCCCAAAATGGTGGGTACAAGATCGAAAGCCACCACCGAAAACCATGACAACGTGGAAACCACCCACCAGGAGGTGCAACAAGACGCCGCTGGGTATCGACCACCAGTGTCGCCAGGTCAACAGGCTGTGAATAACCAAGGGGTAGGGACGTTGAATCCAGAGAACAATGGTTGCACAAGCGATGCAATAGAACGTGGCTGAGTTAAGAAATCAACAACCAACTGCCCAGGACCTTGACCAGCCATGCTTCACAGATATCAGCCCGACATGTCAGAATTCAATCGACGATCATTCTGGTTCATTGGCAACGAGGGGCAACTGACATCTCCCACGTCACAAAGTCCATTCTGTTCACGAACATGAGTCCCGCAGGCAAACTAACCTTGGGAGGCGACCAAGAAAAAGACTAATGAGGGAAAATGAAGGTAATGGTCGCCCACAGGACACTCGACCTGCCCAGCGGTATCCTTAGCATCAGCGTGCTAGTTTTAACCCACGCCCGAGGTAGGCTCAAACCTTGCAAGGTCGCAAGGCGAGTCATGTGCGCCAACTGGCAATGATAGATATTTCGGTTATAACCAACATCACGAGTAACGCATTGACGAACATGATAGCACCTACTAGCCCAACCATCATGACCCAACCTCGTGCATCAATGCGCATAATGGAAGGGGCTCACCAGTAACATATTTGCAAACTCACTTGCTCGAGGTAAGGCTGAATAGAGCCAGCCAAGGCAATCTTCATAACGAAGACTTAGATCGGGTATAGAAAATGCTCGACGATCTAAAAGCCAGCTAGAATAATGCAATGGAAGAAATAGTGAGCTCTCCCTTTATAGAGGAAGCTCCCTAGGCCCCGCCTCCCTAGGGATTCAAGGTGCCAGAAAGTAAGTTCGTTGGGAAATGAGATCTTAGAGACCACCTCGACACTTTCAACAACCTGATGGAGTTGCATTAGGTTTGTGAATTGGCAAAGTGCCATTGCTTTGTGATCACACTGGTAAGGGATGCCAAAAGGTGGTATAAAAGACTCAAGGCGAACTCCATTAGTTTTTGGCAACAATTCTCCTCATTGTACTTGCAACAATTCCAAGTGAGGAGACAATTCGCAAGGTCGCTTAGCTACTTGAGCAACATTCGTCAGGAGAGAGATGAAACACTGACCTTGTATTTGACGAGTTTCTAGAATGAGCAAGCAAAGGTTGTAGATGCACCTGAAGAATCAATCCAGACTTTGCTAATTGTGGGCATCAGGTCACAAACGGAGTTGTGGAAAGAGCTCTAAAGTGAAGATTATGTGAGCATGGCAAAGTTTTACTAGATGGCAGCTAAGCATCAATGAGTAGAAAGCTCACTATCTGCACTAGCCAAAAGCTCGCCACGAAGAGCCCCAGACAGGCGACAAGATCGCCTATTAGATAAACAAAGGGGCCAAGACCGTAATGATCGGGACAAAAACAGGTTCCACAAAAGGCAATAGACGGAAAATCATGGGGAAAGGCAGCATTTCCTACGATATGCAAAATACACCCCCCCTCACACAAGAATAACTCAAATATATGAAGTCTCTCGTGAAGCTAAGAGACTGCTCGCTCTAGAAAGAATGAGGGGGCTTCGGGCAGAAGAGATCAGAAAAAATATTGTCGATACCATTGGGACATTGTGTCGGGCTTCAAAGGACGCCATCGAGGATCTGATCTAGAGGGGCCACTTAAAAGAATTTATTAAGGAGGCACCATCTCGCGAAAGTACTGGCAAGAAGAATAACCTGATCCAATAAGCCACGACCAACGCCAACAATGAAGTCCTGGTAGGCATGATCTACGGGGTTCCCAACATTGCAAGGAGCTCAAGGTGCTCTCACGAGTAATATGCTAGAGAGACTAGAACAACCTCGGTCCCCCAAGTAATGAGCTGTGAATAGAAGCTACCGAAGCAACCCAGATAAGAGAGTGAGGTGATAAGATTCACAGTGGAAGAATGTGAAGAATCTCCTTGCCATAATCAAGATTCACAGTGGAAAAGTACTAAGGGTGATGATCGATAATGGAAGTGCAACGAACATCATTTTCTTGGAAGTTTTTCGAGAAACGAGATTCACCGAGAGAGACTTGAGGGCGTGCCCATCGCTGCTCTATGGATTCACCAGGGATAGCCTGCTCCCCAAGGGAACGATTGACCTGCTCAGGACTTTAGGGGTAGAACCCAAAATCAGGACGGTGATGGCATAATTCTTAGTGGTGGACTACCTGACCACATACAATGTCATCCACAAAAGACCGATCTTGGATGATCTGAGTGCAGTCACTTTAGTGTGCTGCCAAGCAATGAGGTTCTCGACTCTAGGCAGGGTCGCGACGATCAGAAGCTGTAGAAAAGAATCTTGGGAATGTTACAATCGGGCCATTACTACTACACTAAAATGGCTGCTCCTGAGAACCATGGTCATTACAAAGTCTGAGCCAAACCTCAAACCTCTTAAGGATACATAGATCCTCGCACCCATAAAGAAAAGCCCACAGTAGGGCCGATAGAAGAGCTACAAGAAATAGTTGTTAGCGAAAAAGACCAAATTCACGTGTTAAAATTTGGTAGCAGTCTGGGCAAAGAAATGGCAGATAATCTAGTGGCGTTTCTAACAATGTTCTGAAAACGAGACTGGGAGTCGACTCAGCCAAATGCCTGGTTCCCGGTTCGAACGGTTGGACCGGTTCGACCGTGACATCAGCATGTTGACGTTAACAAAAATGCAAAAAAGGAAAAAAAATCTAGGTTTTCATCTAACTAAAATTTAAAAACCATCAAACCAACCCTGCAATAATAATAAAAATTAAAACCATCAAAGTTTGATAGTTAATGTTTACAAATTCAATCCTCAAGTCTAAACTCTAAACTCTAAAGTTTCAAACATCATTAAAGGCATTACAAAGTAATATCAAATATGAATCCACCAACAGCCAACCATCAAAATTACAAAATATCAAAATACCAATCCACCAACCAACATACAAAATTACACAATATCAATCAATCCATTCCACCAACCCAACCATAAACAAATTCAGTAGCAGCTCACGGTAAGTGAAGGGAAAAAGGAGAAACCAAACAGATTCTTCAACGGTTCAACCCATCCTAAATTGATTATCCACATCATCATCCGAGTCATCATCATTATCATCACCATCAACTACAAATTTAGCAAAAATTAAAAACATAAGTTAAAACTTATAATGTACATTGTTTTTTGATATTATAAATTAAAATAGTTACCAAGTTGGTTAAAAGTTGGAAAACAATCTGCTGAATCATAATAGGGTTGATCACCAACACCGATAGGAATAGATCCTTCTTCGTAAAGTGCTTGCTCCAATTCATCTAAATTGAATTCATCACCCTCCTGTTCATCATCAACAATCGAAAATTCTGTTCTGTCAATGCTTTCATAATCGATAGTATCACAACTGCTTTTCTTGTAACACATCCTGAAAGACATGCCAAATAAAAATATCAATAAAAATACGAGATAATAAAAATATTAAAATTGCCAATGCTTTATACCTATTTTTCAAACGCAAGTTATAATGGATAAAAACCAAATCATTCAACCGTTGATGCTCCAATCTATTCCTTTTTTTTGTATGGATGCATTCGAAAATACTCCAATTTCGCTCACATCCCGAAGAGGTTGAAGTTTGGCTCAGAATTTTAATTGCAAACTGTTGTAACTGTGGAGTACTATACCCATATGTCTTCCACCATTCATCTAATTGAAAGTTAAAGTGTTAACCATATGAAATAATTAAATAAACAAATTCATAACTTAGAAATTGGACTTAAAATTGAGAAATTTAATAAGTATCACATACCAGGTCGTGTGGTTTTGCAAGTTTGAAGGGCAAGCTCACGAGAAAAGCTTTCCTTGCGATCTCGATATATTCTACTTTCGTCCACTAACTTTGTCTTGTTCAACTTGAATGCATTTGCTTTATTGTCGACAACATCAAGGAAACCACGCATAACCTCTGGTTTCTTGCAGAAAGTTGCACGATCATACTGAAAAGCTGGATTCAAATAATAAGCAGCGGCATGAATGTCGCGGCGCAAAAGCATATCCCACCGCAGCTTAATAATTTCGGTATAAGGCTTGTACAATGTCTTTTTCTTTTTAAAGAACTTCTTGATCGCTTTTTTGCCTTTATACATGCCATCATATACATATCATATTGTAGGTCTCTCATTTGAGTCTATAATCCGCAACAAACGCATCAAAGGAGCCACAATTTTGGAAACGTAACCCATGTCATCCCAAAATTCATTATCTAGAATTATGGGAATAACATTCTTGGCTTTACTACTTCTGGCATATCGAGAGTCCACAAAAAACCTATCAGTCACCATAGCTTGCAAGTCATGTTTGTGCTCATGTAGACTTCTTAATGTAATGAAAGTAGTAGCAAACCGAGTTGCACCCGGTCGTATGATTTCTTTCCAACCCTATTCAAGTGATACATACATAATAGATGTTAGTAAATTATTACAAAATGTTTATTATGTAATAAATTGACAAAAACATGAGTTAAAGGTTTATAAGCTATTACCTCTCTTTTCCTCAACCAAGCTATCAAAATTGTGTGATTATACACTGTTAGAGTAGATGCCCTAGAGCCAATCAATTATTGTAGAATTGACTCTTTGTAATAATGTTCATTAATCAATAAAAGGCATTTTATTCTATATCGCGTAAATCATTATTATTACAATATGTTTTGATATATGTCCTTAGAATGGTAGAACCGTGACGAGGGTATCAAGAGTTTCAAATCTTGATAGTGAGAACCCTATGAGCACATATGGTGGCCATTCTAGAAACGTCCGTAGCCCAAGTATTATTCTGAAGTAAGGGCACAGATAATACGGTAAGGCTATCATAGTGTTGAACGACCCTGTCGAAAGGCAGTGACTGATCTCACTTGTCAAGGTTGTTTGGTGACAACCTGGTGCAACACATGGGTGTTTGTTGTAGGCGATTACACCACAGCAAGTTCACTGGACTGACCCACCAGAGGATTCCATATGGATGGTAACCCCAGTGTCTATGGAACAAATCCTCTAACGAATGGTGGTGCATGTGATCCTTAGACTTGAGATCACCGGAGCGCCTTGTGCACCGATTGGTGTAGTTTGACACTAGCCTAACGCAGTTCTTTTCAGAGCTGTCAATACGGTGGTGATTGGCTGCATCAAGGAGTGTATCAAGACTATGGTGGATTGACAGAGGATTTATCACTCCCGGGTACGGGAGAAAGTTATCTCACGGCGCAATTCAGTATATGGCAATGACACTAAAACTGTGGCCACAGTGGGATTGAGTTGTTGCTCTATCCAGTTTATAATACGGGTCATTGGTCCAGAAACTGAATACATAATATCGAGAGTAACCGAAGGTTGACACTATTTCTATGCCTTCGTCTCGTCGAGATAACGTATGATGAAAGGATCGAATTGTACGGTAACCATATCGTTGACAGGTAGCTACTTTGCTGAATCCGAATCTATCGGGTGGCCATGATGCCTTGCTAGGGGCCAATCTTGGTCTGTGTATTAGTGAGACGATTAATTGGTGTTAATCGTGATACTATACACTGCCGGTATGATGAGGAGCCTATGGGTCACACACATAGAAGATAATTTAAGATCCAAGAAGAAAGAAGGGCGTTTTCGTCTTTTAAGGCGAAAGGGTATTTTGGTAATTTCACAGTGCAATTAAATTTGCTTAGGTCGTAGCCTTTATTTAATTTGTTAGAAAAATTAAATTAAGTGAAATTACGTTTAAATGTGTGTTCGCACATATTTAAATATATTATAATTATTGTTAAATGTTAATATATATTAATTGATTTTAATTGAGATAATGATGGAAAATAAAATAAATCAAATTGGGAGTGTTTGGCAACATGGGGCGTTTGGGTTGGAGCCCAAGCCTATTTCGTATGGGATTAGGGCAACTTGATTATTTTACTATAAAAAGAAAAGTGTGTGTTAATTAATTAGGAGAATTGATTTTTTTTTAAAAACAAAACACACAGCCCCCATTTGACACTCCCACGCCAGAAACCTTTCTTTGGCCTAAATCAATTCAATTTGATTTCTTTTCTTCTTAATCTTGAAGCCAAAGAGGATTTAGCAAATACCTCTTTGGTTCTTTTGAGATTGTCTTCGTGTGGACTACGTGGGTTCGATCCTACACTTGGATCGGTAGCAAAATGTTCAAAGACAATCGTGGTGGACCCTCCAAACGTGCGTATGGTTTCTAAACACAGATTTTTAATTTCTGCAGATTCTTGTTTTAATATGAATTGTAAAATTATACCCTTGATCTTGGCTCATGTAAACGATCCTGTTATATTAATTTTTTTTTTGTTTTCGCTGCGTATACGGGACCGTTTACTAACATACACAAACTTGGTTACTTTAGAAGCACGTTTTGCAAGATGCACTATGTGGTCCAACTCAGATATATCTTTCAAAATTAAATTTAAGCAATGTGCTGCATAGGGCGACGAAGTAATATTCTCATACTTCTCTGACAACATTCTTCTAGCAGCTTTAAAATTTGCTCCATTATCTGTGACAACATGGACAATATTGTTTGGTCCAACCCATAAAGCCATTTCCTTAAACAACTTGAACAATGTAAAGGCATCCTTTACAACATCTGAAGCCTCCACTGATTTTATAAAGTAAACACCTTTAGGAGAGTATATGAGAAAATTAATCAATGATCTATGGCAAGTATTAGTCCAACCATAAACCATTAATGTACATCCAACCTCTTGCCAAATACTCTTATAATTGTCAACAATTAATTGGACTTCCTTCTTAGCATCTCTCAATAAATTCACACGCATAGCATCGTAAGTAGGTTGTTTATACCCAGGGCCAATTGCAGCTACAGCATCCAACATAGGCTGAAAATAAATTGAATTTAAAGCATTCATCGGGATGCAAGCATTATAAAAGAATCGTGCAACACACATGTCTGCTCTCCACTTTGCATCTTTTCTAGCCAAAACACTCTTAATTGAAGGCTGAGACCCATAAGTAGTTCGTGGAGCAAAATAATTACTAACCCCCGTAGTTTTCTTTCTCTTACTGCTCGTAAATTGTTTTTTACCGCCACTACTACCACCTTCATTCATGGTCATTTGTGATGGGAAAACCTCTTCATTTTCTTCATCTAACTTATCACCCTCAAATTCATGTACTGTAGCACCAAAAGGAGTTGCATGCTTCCGAAAATCTTCTTTTTCCTTATTCTTTACTCCTATTTCTTTTAGTGATTCATTCATATTGAATTTAACATCAAATGGAACCTTCGGGCACTTTCCAATATCCCTTTTTACTCCTGCTAGGTGTTGCTTCATTATGAAAATACCACCACCTCTAGTAACCTTGCCACAATGAAGACAAGATAATATTTTTGTTCCATCTTTATCAACACTCTCAAGAACATGTCCCCATGCTATATCGGTCTTTCCTCGAAAAGATTGCGAGAAATGGACGCGGCTGATGAGTTATGTGCAGACGAAGATGATGCCATTATCTCCCTTGGCAAGTGGCAACCAACAATCAATTTGTTATAATTTATAAGATATAACTTTAAATCAATTTGTTTTTCAATCAAGAGCATTCATGCTACTAAATGGAAGAACCAAGCAAATTGATAAGTCAAAACCCAAAACCAAAATGCTAGAAATAATAAAACCTGGATGCTTATATTTATTATTAGTCCATAACAGATGAAGATTGTTTTATTCTATGCATGATTAAAACTTTCCCAAGCAACAAACCTTTTTTTCCAATTTGAATTATGAAAATCAATAATAATATTTCTCCACAAAAATAGTTGCTAACATCCAATTTAGCTCTGTTATGATAATCCCAATCAATACCTGTGTTATTATCACAATTCACAACATGAATAAACTCCCCCTTTCAATTACTCTTTACTGTAATAAACTAATAATAAAGCTTCACGGTGCAAGCAACTTTCACAGTTTCACCATCAATTTCTAATTTCCCATGAGAAATTGACAGATTCAGTGATTCACATTTCATAATTTCACGTCACAATAAGTCAATAATACAATATCATGAATCAATTCAAAACCAAAAACAAGGGGCGAATTTACATAATCTACGAGTGTAAATTGTAAAACACGTAGGTTGGCCACATGAACAAACAAAAAAACAGAACCAAATCTCCAAAAAGTCTAAGCAAAATTACCAGCATTATAAAACAAGTTGGCCACCTAGATAGACAACAAGAAGATAATAAAATCTACAGATTCTACACATCATAAATCCAAAAGCCAGCCACTAACATGGTTCATAACTCTGTACATAAAGCCATCAATACAAATATACAATATCATGAATCATGATATGAAATAGAAGACAGAGAAAGATAGGATGACTCTTAGTCTCTTATAGTAGTTTGTTACTTGGTTGACGGCAAACGGCAGCTCGCAGACGGCAGCAGATGTGAAGGTTGAAATCTGAACTGAAGTGACTAATTCTGCAGACCAGCAACGACAAGCAAGAAGCAGGCTTTTATATGGCGACGGTGATGATTGAAGAGATTGAACCATTGAAGACTTGAAGTTGAAGAATGAAGACTTGCAACAGACTAGCCATGGCAAGGAAGAAGCACTGAAGTAGAGTAGCAGACCGAAGACTTGAAGAGTGAAGACTTGAAGGCTAAAGACTTAAAGGCTGAACCGTTGAAGCTGAAGCTTGAAGGAGATCCGAGATCGTGAATGGAGGATAAGAGGAGGAGGACTGGACTGGAGAGTGGAGATCGCGAATGGCAAAGTAGCAAACCAAAATGAAAAAGGCAAAAAGGAAATTTTTCAAAGTGGCAGACAACTTAGTAGCTCACAGCTTAACGCAAAAAGCAAATTGAAAATGTATTAAAAATTGTGGGGGTTTGACATTTGACTTTGTGTTTGTGGATTTTAATTTTTTATTTTATTTCATGTGATTAAACCGAATTAGGTGTGGACCGGATTTCCTTGTTATACCGGTTGGACCGTCAGTTTGCTACAGTGCGACAGTCCGACCATGGTTTGAAACGGTTTGAAGCAAAATATCGGTTTTTTATTCTTTTTAAACCGAAAATATAAGTGAAACCCGGTTAGACTGGTTCGACCGCCCGGTCCGGTCCGGGTTTCAGAACATTAGTTTCTAAAGAAAAATCTCGACGTGTTCGCATGGGTACACTTTGATATGGTGGGGATCAACCCCGAGGTAATGTGCTACATATTGAATGTCAACCTAGCAGCTTGGCCAATCAGACAAAAAAGAAGATCTATGGATGCAGAGTGCTTTAAAGTGCTCAAGGATGAAGTTAACAAACTCTTGAACATCAACTTCATCAAGGAAGTGAAATACCCGGACTAGCTCACCAACCCAGTCTTGGTAAAAAAGTCGAATGACAAGTGGCAGACTTGCGTCAACTTTACAAACTTGAACAAAGCTTGTCCCGAAGACAGCCTTCCGTTTTCTCGGATCAACCAATTAGTGGATGCGATAGCCGGGAACCCATTACTCAGCTTTATGGATGCCTGCTTGGGATATAACCAAATCTCGATGTATCAGCCCGATGAAGAACATACCTCATTTATTATTGACCAGGGTATTGACTGTTACAAGGTTATGCCGTTTGGCTTGAAGAATGCTGGGGCGACTTACCAGTATTTGGTGAACAAGATGTCCGCCGAGCAAATCGGCAAAACAATGGAGGTGTATATCAACGACATGCTTGTCAAATCAAAGGTCGCCGAAAGTTACGTTGAGCACTTGGGAAAAATGTTCGACATCCTCATAAAATATAGAATGAGGCTCAACCCTCTAAAGTGCTCTTTCAGAGTAAGCTAAGGAAAGTTTTTGGGCTTCTTGGTAAATCAACGAGGTGTCAAAGCCAACCCAGAAAAGATTCAAGCTCTCATGGACATGAAAAGCCTGACCAGCATAAGACAGGTTCGGAGTTTGATACGGCGTGTGGCCATGCTCAGCAGATTTGTTTCATGAGCCACAGATAGGTGCCTACCATTCTTGGAGATCCTAAAGGGAAAAAAGGGTTTCAAATAGACAGAGGAGTGCGAGAAAGCATTCCAGGAATTGAAGAAGCATCAAGGGCATCCTCATTTGTTATTAAAGCCCGTCTAGGGCGAGCCGCTACTACTATATTTATTGGTATCTAAGTTCGCGATTAGGACAGCTTTGGTACTCGAAGAAAGGGGAGTGCAGTGGCCGGTGTACTATGTGAGCAAGAGGTTCCTCAACGTTGAGACAAGATACCCCGAAATGGAGAAGCTTGCCTATGTCCTTGTCATCGCCGCTCGGAAGTTGTGACCTTATTTCCAGGCACAGTCCATACATATGCTAACAAACTTTTCATTGAGGAAAATAATGCAGAAGCTCAAGGTATCGGGCAGATTGATCTAGTAGATGATGGAGATAAGTCAGCATGATATCAAGTACATCTCCAGAACAATAATAAAAGGTTAGGCTTTTGGCAGACTTTATTTCAAAGTTTTCTTATCAGCCTGAAGGAGAAGTAAGCCAGCCATAGGCAAGCACCTCAGAGGTAAGCGAACAACGAAAACCAAGGCTTGACAATTTATGGCAGTGGACTCTGTATGTAGATGGGTCCTCAAATGAGAAGGGGGTAGAAGCTAGGCTTTTCCTTGAAAGTCTCTAAGGGAGCCTGATCAGAGCTACAATTAGATTTGGGTTTGCTGCCTCTAACAACAAGGCAAAGTAGAAGCAATAATCCCAGGGATCCGCCTCGCTAAGGAAATGAGGGTAGAGTCCATCAAGATTTATAGCGACTCCTCAGCTTGTAGTCCATTAGATTACCGGGGAATATCAAGCAAAAGAAGACTGAATGGCATTCTACCTCCAATAGGTGAAATCCAAGCTCGAGCAGTTCAAATCTTTCACTATTCATCAAATCCCGAGGGAGAAGAGTTCAGTGGCCGATGCTCTAGCTCACCTAGCTTTTGCAATGAGTCAAGAGAAGACTAATTCAATACCTGTTAAATTCCTCCCAAGTCTAAGTATCCTCGTTCCACAAGAACTAGTCTTAGTAACAGGGTAGAGATACAGCTGGATGGATGTAATAATCGCCTACCTAAAAGACGGAATAGTGCCTGAAGGAAGAAATGAAGCCAAAACACTCCGAGCAAAATCAGCTCGATACACGCTCATCAATGACAGACTGTATAAGCGTGGGTACAATTCACCGCTCCTATAATGTGTTGACCATGAAGACGTGGACTATGTTCTGAGAGAGATCTACGAAGGCATCTATGGGAGCCATGCAAGGGGCAGATCTCTAGCATACAAAGTGCTTTGCCAAGGCTACTATTGGCCAGTAGTTTTTGACGATACAATAGACTATATGCGTAGATGCGACAAATGCCAGAGATTTGTAAATGTTCTGTGAGCTCCACCTCAAGAGTTAACCACCTTGACGAGTCCTTGGCCATTTGCAATTTAGGGGATTGATTTGATCGACCCTTTCCCTCAAGGAAAAGGAGATTAAGTTCGCAGTGGGCATAGTAGATTACTTCACTAAGTGGGCAGAAGCTAAGCCTTTAGCTACCATCACGTCGAACAAGTTGAAAGATTTCATCTACAAAAACATCATTCGTAGATTCAGAATCCCCCACACAATATCGACAATGGAAAATAGTTCGACAGTGAGGACTTCAGATCTTTCTGTGAACAACTTGGTATTAAGAAGAGCTTTGCTACTGTTTATTGGCCTCAAGCTAACGGTCAAGTAGAGACTGTGAACAAAGTGATCAAGCACACCATTAAAAAGAAGCTCGATGCCTTAAAGGGAAGATGAGTTGAGGAATTGCCCAAGGCCTTATGGTCTTACAAAATGACAACCAAAAGTTTGACGAGAGAAACTCGATTCTTTCTACCATATGAGTGTGAAACAATGACCCTAGTTGAAGTGGGGATTAGTTTATTCCGGAACGAAGTCTTTAACAAAGATCTTCTTTGCTTGAGACTAGACCTAATCAAGGAACATCGAGCCAAGTCTCAGTTAAGGCTTGTCTCGTACCAATAGCAAGCCAGACGATACTTCAATGCCAAAGTCAAGAATAGAGACTTTAAAGTGGGCGAGCTAGTCCTTAGAAAGGCTGTTCAGGGTACACAAAACTCGAATTTGGGGGCACTTAGGTCTAAATGGGAAGGTCCATTTAGGATCTCCGAAAAGCTCGCACCAAGAACCTTCCGCCTGGAGTGCCTCAATGGCAAAGCCATACTATGAGCATGGAACACCGGGCATATGCAAAGGTATTACCAATAAGTAGCTTGAGTTCCAATCATGTTTTATTTTCTCCCCTATATTCATTGTAAGGTCGCTTATGGCCAAAATATTATCAATAAAAATAGGTATTATTCATGAACTTTACTTTGTTTGTTATTTTATGTTTATCAGTATCTTGTTCGTAATTTATTATCTTTTGTTTCAAAAATCACGACCTACACGATCACATCAAAAAACTCAGAGTCAAGAGTTCAAAAAAAGGCAACTTATCTCGATAAGCCACACCAAAATCCAACTCATTATGGGTGAAATTCCCCAGATCGACGAAGTTACACTTGGAAAAAGTCAAGTAAAACACGTCGAAGGAAAATCGATCATAAGCCAACAACTAAAACTCAAGACAAGCAGCTAGTCTAAACTCAGAGCTGTCGCACATAATTTTCTCAAGTATATTCAAAAAGTTCCTCAAGAAGTGAGCTACGCATAACTTGGAACAACTTCGAAACGACTTTGCAGAAATTAAAAATTGCTCAACAAATATATGCAAAAAATGTCTTTCATTGATTGTAAAGTTTGGTTACAATAAAAAAATGTCTTTCATTGATTGTAAGCCTGCGGAAGAAAGGAAAAGTCGATCGAGGGATGAGCTTCCCACAACTTCTACACAAGGAAGACCGACATCTCCCAAGCTTTATTCGTGACGGTTGCGTTCAACTCCTCGACTTCGAACCTAAGCAGCTCAGTTTTGGCCTCGACCTTTTGTCGACCCTCCGCCTCCTAGGCAAGATCGAGTGAGACCTGTTTAAACTTTGCCTCCCAATTCGAGGCAATTTTTTGAGTTGATGTGAGCTCGAAGTTTACCTTATTCTTAGCACCTCGCTGCTGTGCCAAACGCTTCTTAGCCTCGACCGCCTTAGCTTTGGCCTTTGCTTGAGCGGCCTCAATCGCTTCAACTTTGTCAAGGAATTCCCTTTCCTTGACCCTGAAGGCCACCATTTCCTATTTAAGCCGCTCAAGCTTGGCCTGTTTCGAGTCATTCTCTTTCTCTGCCACCTCGGCCCTAACCAAAGCATCCTCCTTGAGCATCTTCGCTTCTTGCCACCCCTGGTGAGTGCCCATCAATGTTGGGTAATACTCATCATAGAGAAGCCTGCTCGCCACGTAAGCCTAATAAAGAAAAAATGAAAGTCAGTGACAAATAAAGAAAAATGTATATAAAACAGGAAGAAGGGAGAGAACTACTGATACCTTTGTCATGTGGTTGCATACCTAAGCCAGCAGCTGTGGAGTAGACGAATCCCTAATGCCCGCATAGGTCCACGAGGTGATGGCGTCCCTGACCACCGAGGCCCCGATACTGATGTGTTCAGGGAGTTGGTGGATTATTGCGTCAAGCGCAGCTCGAGTTGCCTTGTTTATAATTTTGCTTCCTGCGGAGGCAAGTTTGATTTGCTTCCCACGAGAATGACAACTTCACCCATGGGAGCGACTTCTTCTTGGCCAAGTTCTTGTGATAATCCGAGAATTATAATAGTTTATTTAAGCTTTTAGGCCGGATTTTAGATAATTCTTAGTCTATTTTGCCTGAATTGATACTTAATTCCTTACTTTTCGTGTTTCAGGGTAAAAATGGAAATTTTGAGCGAAAAAAGGTAGATTTGGAGTTTTTGGACTCAGAAGCATGCGGAGGGCAATTCTGGAATTTCAGAATTCTTCAGGAAGCTTCGCCGCGGCGAAATGGGCCAGTGACGCACCAGATTCAGCCTCTTTCTTTGCCGCGGCGAGATTCCTTCTTCGCCACGGCGAAGTCTGCGTACTCCACTTTTTTGTAAAACGCACAGTTTCATGTTTAGGCTAAGTTGTATTATTTTGGGCGAGGTATAAAAGAGAGACTTAGTCTATTTGTCTAGGGCTTTCGTGGAGTGATTGAGAGAGTTTTTTTTACATTATTTTAGATTCATTTTTGAGTGATTTTGGATTAACAAGGTTGGAAGATTCGAGGAAACCAGTGGATTCATCAAATTGGGGAGATTCTTTTCCTTTTCTTTTGTATCCATTATGTTGAACCTGGAGTTTTTCATTTCTTTTAATTGTTTATTTGAATTAGCCATGAACTAACCTATTTTGGGTTAGGGTTTTGATGTAGTTCGGATTCTAATGGGATAGAAAGTTGATGATTATTAATTTCATATGATTTTACTTTGATTGTGTGATTATTCTGTATTTATTGGTTGTATGCGATGAACATGATGAGATCGAGAGATAATTTATGTTAAGCGTCTTGGGTAATCACCGTTGTATTATTGGATGCTAGAGATAGATTCAAGAACCAATGAAATCAATCTAGGATTCTTACGCTTAATGAACTTAGATTTATTAATCTTCATTTTGTTCGGTGCGGAAGGTTAATAGGGAAGAGTATGACAACATAGCCTGAGAAGGTATGTTGGACGCTATAGAGAGTTCAATTTACAATCAATGCATGAGAATGTGAATTTAGTTTAACTCTTAAAGTTTAACCCATAGAGTCCGAATGAAGTCAAAACCCTACCCGTTTGTTTGAATTGAATTTATCCCGTTTTAAATCTTGCTTTCATAGTTTAAGTTTAATTTAGTAAAATTTTGTTTTAATTATAGTTTAAATTGCTCCCTTTAATCCAAAAAGAAGTCGATTGCTTCAACTTGAGAACGTTAGGAAACTTAGTGCTTAGCAACAATCCTTGTGGGAACGATACTCACTCATCATTATATTACTTGTGCGACTAGTATACTTGCTACATATTGCATGTTGTAGGAAACACGCATCACCTTGGCCGTAGACTTCTTTTTGCCGCTAGTTTGCCCTATAACCTCCTTACTTGAGCCTCCAGTTAACTTGGATGTCTTCTTCGTCGGGCTCTTTTAGAGCTCGCGCGCACTTTTCTCCCTGGCTGCATTGGAGGTAGTCGCGAGCTTCTTAACACTTGGGCCTTCCCCAAGCTCGCCCCCACTATGCTTAAGGGTTGGGCGCGAAGAACCCAGCCTGACCATCCCAACAACATTAGTAGGATGCTTCTTAATTGAAGTAACAAGTTGTTTCTTGGCAGCCCCGAACGCTACTGTTTTCTTTTTTCAAACCCTTTGGTTTGTCGATTTCTACGAAAGGAGAAGCAAACAACCAACGACCTAATAGACTGAAAAAGAAAAAGTGAGCAAGTAAACACTTACCTTTTTCGAGAATAGTGTTGAATGTGACTTTCTCTGCGCAAAAGCCGTGTGCCCTCAACTGAGGAAGCAAGATGATCTCGTTAACGTTGTCATCCCTTTCGAAGAGATTGCTGAAGCACTGAAGCTACTCTAAGCTCGCTGCGGGAAGAAAGTTTTGCTCGACGTTAACTGCAAAGCAAAGAAGTTTGGTTAGTTTGACCGTCGAGCTTGGAGACACTATTTGCACACACAACTATCGAAGTCTTACTAGCTTCTAAAGCAAAAACGCCGGTCTTTTTGGCCTCATAAAAGAAAAACTGAGAGTCCTTGTTCAGGACCTTCTTTGGAACGTCGACCAAACCGTTAAAATGTACCTTCCTCGCCTTGGAGAGGTAGTACATTTGGTTCTGACCTTTCTTTAACCTATAAAAATGGACAAGCTCTTCAATAGATGGCTCGCCCAATTCAGCTATTTGGTATGTTATGTACAGACCTACAATTATAATGTATGAATTCATGGACAACTGGAGAGGGATGATGTCGAACTGTCTCAAAATGCTATCAATGAAATGGTGGGTGGGGATAGACAACACACACCTTAGGAGGGACTCAAAAACTACCATGCAGCCTATGAGGGGATTCTTCCGAGAAAAGCCTCTTGGAACCCTCAAGTTGAGTTGAGGCGCATAAGTTTCAATTTATGCGCCTAAGATCCTTGGCATCAATCGAAGACTGTGGTTCCTTGCATGGCCTATGTGTTGGAGACTTCTTCAGCTGGGCAATCTCTGTAGAGGCATTGTTAAAAAAGCCTATTGCATCAAGGTCCAGGCTTTGTGCGACGACCTCCTTGGAAGCCTCGGGGACTATGCCCCCAAGAACTATCGAGTTCGCTGGGGAATCTGTTGCGAACCTACCCAGATTTCTCAATCACTCACACATACAATAGCTGATAACCGAAACAAACAGCAATTTATAGCAACCTCTAGAGTTCCAGAATAACATAAGAGAAGTATTTCATTGATAATTCTGTTTACACCACTCTAGACCATCTCTCAAATAAGAACTACTGGGTTTAATTAACTACACTGAAAATAAGAGAAACCAAGCTAGAACATNTGAAGGCAAGCATAATTTTCTGGAATATATTTTTCTGAATCAGTTAATTAATTGAGGAGATAATTAATTCCGTAGCAATGTTTTTTTCGTGCAGGGAGGGGGCCATACTGCTCCAGAGTACAAGCCTAAAGAATGTTTAGCCATGATCAGCAGGTGGCTAGCCTTATACCCTATGTGAACTATGTTTTATCCTATACACCAACTCAACAATTATATTTAGGCGTTTGATTTAGAGAATATTGTATTACTAAAAAATTATATTAATGAAAAGATAAATTACTTTGAAGATTATTGGGAATGTTATATTAAATATATTCGATTAGATTGGAATAAATTGATGGGTACAAATAACTAATATGTTTGGTTAAAAAGATTAAAAGAATTCTGAGAGAAATCTTTTACTGAATTGCCATTCTTTTTTAATATTATTATTATAATATGATTATTATTGTTAATAACTATATATGTGATGTTTGGAATCTTTCGATATGTATTTATTTCTTTAATTTAATCTTTTTTTTTTTTTTTTTTTTTTTTAAAGTATGCCTTAATATTTGTTGTTTAAGATTAATTACATGAAGGAACTAGCTATGGTTGTTGAAGAAATACAAAGATAAAGTGGAAAGATTCCAGAAGTGAATTTCTTCAATACTGATTGAGAATGAGTTTCTACTGCTTGTTTTTAATGTAAGTTCAGAGAAAGACCTTTTAAAATTCTTATTCTGAATCAGCTTAGTTGTTCATTCTGAATCAGCTCAGCTATAGCAATATTTTGCACACATTTTTCAGTCTGAAAAGAAAAATGAGATCCAATAACTTGTGTATTCGTAGAATGAGCGGCAAATGGTGAATTGCTAGTTTGCAATGCTCCATTATATGTAGAATTAAACTTGTGATAGCATTGAATTGTTGAGTGGCCAGGTTTGTTGCAGACTTGACAGATCAGTCTATTTCTGTTATTGTTCGGACATCTGCCCCTTCAATAAGGCATGAATCTAGGAGGTCTAGGACTGAAAATATTACCTCCAGTGGGTGAGTAAGGAAGCTGATTTGGAGTAGATGTGTAATTGGGGTTTGGCATAGTATACGGTTGTGAAAAATGGGGATTTCCGAGGGATATTAGTGAAGGGACAAAATTATGGAATACTGAAGGAGGTTTATTAGTGTCATGACTCTGTTGAGGACTGAAATTTCTTAAATTATGGAATACCAAGTAAGTGATCTTCCAGCTCGTGTGAACCTACTGCAAGCAGAACTTGAGAGCTCCAAAACCTATAGTTGTCACGAGTAAGCTGTTGCGAACCTACCCAGATTTCTCAATCACTCACACATACAATAGCTCATAACCGAAACAAACAGCAGTTTATAGCAACCTCTAGAGTTCCAAAATAACAGAAGAGAAGTATTTCATTGATAATTCAGTTTACACCACTCTAGATCATCTCTCAAATAAAAGAACTACTGGATTTAATTAACTACACTGAAAATAAGAGAAACCAAGCTAGAACATAATAGAAACCGATATGTTGGACTTCGAGGGCCAGCTACCTCCCCTTTTCCTCACTTCTTTCTCGATGCCTATTTACCCTTCTGCTGCTCCTTTTATTCATTTCTTCTACTAACAAAATTTACCCTTCCTCCAGTAATCTTTCACCACCTGTCCCACTACCTTCAATTCACACTTTAGTTGCTTCTTTTAATATTATTGATCCCCTGGTGCTCCTTCCCACGCTTCTTGTACACCCGCACTTCGCGTGTTGTATCANCTTTGGCATAGCCAGAATATTTGGGGGACACGAAATTGAGGCCAATACAAATAAAGTAGTTGGAACATAGTGAGTACAACTAATATTGTTTTCTGCTTTGCTCACTTCCGCTTGAGACCTCTGCCAATGTCATTTTGCAGTGGTTATATGTCTCCGGAGTATGCAATTGACGGGGTTTTCTCGATGAAATCTGACATATTTAGCTTTGGAGTTTTAGTATTAGAGATTGTTAGTGGGAAGAAAAACAGAGGATTTTCCCATCTAGATCACTACCATAATCTTCTTGGACATGTAAGAGTAGAACACAACGATTTATTTAACTATTTGGAAACAAATATTTCATCTGTACTTCAATTTTTTTCAGGCATGGATACTTTGGAAAGAGGAAAGGCGATTGGAACTAACTGGTGAAACATTAATTGACTCTCGTCCGCCACCTGAGGTGTTGAGATGAATTCATGTGGGTTTGTTATGCGTACAACAACGGCCAGAAGACAGGCCGATCATGTCGTCTGTGGTTCTAATGTTGGGAAGTGAGTGTTCATTGCCTGACCCAAAGCAACCTGGGTTTTTTTCAGAAAGAAATCTGTTTGAACCTGAGTCTTCATCAGGCAACTTTTCCATTTTGGAGGCAAGGTAGAACATCACCAATTGGCATAAAAAATTATCTCAACAGCCCTTAGATATCCAGACAATCTGTTTAATGGTTAGTATACAAGTCTGTTGTTAAAATTGTTTGTTTGTGATGCAAGGGGTATGATTCTTGTCAGTGCAATAGGTGAGTGTCAGGCTTGCGAATGGTTAGGGATTATCCACCTGTCTAAGCCCTACGCAATTTGAGGATATTTCTCGTGCAGATAACCAATGGGACGCAAAGAGGGATTTTGTTGCGAACCTACCCAGATTTCTCAGTCATTCACACATACAATAGCTCATAACCGAAACAAACAGCAGTTTATATCAACCTCTAGAGTTCCAAAATAACAGAAGAGAGGTATTTCATTGATAACTCAGTTTACACCACTCTAGATCGTCTCTCAAATAAAAGAACTACTGGATTTAATTAACTACAATGAAAATAAGAGAAACCAAGACTAGAACATAATAGAAACCGATATGCTGGACTTCGAGGGCCAGCTACCTCCCCTTTTCCTTTTCATCAAACAGTTCATCAATGGCCGGAATGGGGAATCGGTCGAGAATGGTCAATTTATTGAGTGCCCTATAGTCTACACAAAACCTCCAACCACCATCTTTTTTCTTAACCAACAACACTGGACTGGAAAAAGGATTGATACTAGGCTTAATAATTCCTGAGGCTAACATCTCCCCAATGATTTTCTCAATTTCGTTTTTCTGGTAAAACGGATATCTATAAGGCCTAAAGTTTGGGGGTTGGGCATCTGGTAGTAACCTAATTGCATGGTCTTGGGGTCTGCTAGGGGGCAAATCCGATAGAGGCTCAAATACGGATCTGAAAGTTTCTAACACTGGAAACAGCGTGCTACTGACATTGATCTCTTCGTCTGACTGTTTTTGCAGCTGCCCAAATTCAACCATGTATCCATTTCCCTCACTTCTCAACGTTCGGATCATGGCTTTCAAGGAAACCATTGTTTTGCTAAGTGCAGGATCCCCTACAATTGTCACCGTTTCCTCACCCAATTTAAATTTCATCACCTGCTGCCTCCAATTCATTGTAGTTTCCCCTAATGTTTCAAGCCAAGCCATGCCTAACACTACATCTGCACTACTCATTTCAAAGGGAAAAAAATCTTGAGTTATTTGTACCCTCTGGACTCCCAAACATACTGCCTTACACTCTCCCTCACATCGGACTTTATATCCATCACCAACTCTCACTCCAAATGCCTGTGTTCTTTCTACAGCAATACGCAGCTTCTCAACCAACTCTCAGCTAATGAAATTGTGGGAAGCCCCACTGTCAATCAAGATAATAACCTCCTGACCCATAATACTGCCCTTCAACTTCATCGTTTTTGGGCCATTGATTCCCACAACCGAGCTAAGGGAAAGTTCAACATTACCTTGGGTTTGTTCTGCCGTCGTTCCTTCACTGGTTTCCATGTCCCCTGGATCCAAATCTTCTTCTTCCTCATCAACAAGGATTACTTGAAATTGCTTCTCACCACACTTATGGCCAAAGAAATACTTCCCATCACACTTGAAACACAACCCTTTATCTTTTCCTCTGTATTTCGGCCTCGTCATCTTTCAAAAGGGAAATTCCGTCGCGGTGGATGGTTTCTGTCGAAGTATCTGAAGTTTGTAGAAGTGTATTCGCGAGGAGAGGAATTCATGGATGAACCCACGACAGTACCTTCTGCGTTTCTTCGCCCAGGATTTGAGAAATTGGAGAATGAATTTGAGGAAGAATTTGAGAAGGAGTTCGATTTTAGGGATTCAGTCAAATTTGGGGCTTTATTGAATCTCCGGGTCGGTGGTGGATATCGGTTAAAACTTGGATCCCAAATGGTTTGACCCGACATTTAATCCTGGCCCTTCCACCTATTGGCTCTTGTGGACCTGTCTTCAGTTCTTTAAAGCCCAGTTACTTCCTCTACTCTGTGGGCTCTTTCTATTGTTTGGAGAAGAGAATGGGCTGGATCAACCTCAGCTCAGCCCGAATTCTGCCTTTAACCCATTCAGAAACGCAGCGTTAGGATCTTCCTCTCTTCACCAACAAAGAGTACAGCTTCGAATCTTCTTCTGTAATCAGCGACTGTACTGTTTTGCTTTAGGGCCATTAGAGTTTCATAAGGGTTACTCTCTTGAGATCCGTGAATCTCTGATTAAAGCAAGTTTAAATGATGGCCACGAGGTTACAGGTGCTCTGACTTCATCCATGTACCAGTTAATGGCTTCCCCTTCCATGCACACTGCCGCCGCTGTTAATTTTCCATCATCAGGAATTCCATTCAGAGAAAAATACCTTTCAATTCTAAAGATCCACCCGTAAGGATTCCACCATGAAAATGGGTAATTCCAGTTTCTTCCTCCCAACTCACTTTGACTCTGTCCCAAACTCCCTGATCCACTTACTCTGTTTTGATTCTCCCTTTCCTGATTTCTCACGTTTCTAGATGAATTTTGTTCTCACGCCCAGCTTCTTCTTCATCCTTTCTCCTCATCCAACTCTGTATCTCTACCAGCATTCACGAAGTCCCATATCCACGCCCAATTTCGTTACCTCTCGTTCACATTTAGCCTAGATTCCTTTGTTGTTACCATAACCCACGCGCACACCTGCTCTGATACCAATTTGTTGCGAACCTACCCAGATTTCTCAATCACTCACACATACAATAGCTCATAACCGAAACAAACAACAATATAGCAACCTCTAGAGTTCCACTAACATAAGAGAAGTATTATTGATAATTTGTTTACACCACTCTAGACCATCTCTCAAATAAGAACTACTGGGTTTATTAAACTACATTGAAAATAAGAGAAACCAAGCAGAACGTAATAGAAACTGATATGCTGGACTTCGAGGGCCAGCTACCTCCCCTTTTCCTCACTTCTTTCTCGATGCCTATTTCCCTTTCTGCTGCTCCTTTTATTCATTTCTTCTACTAACAGAATTTACCCTTCTTCTAGTAATCTTTCGCCACCTGTCCCACTACCTTCAATTCACACTTTAGTTGCTTGTTTTAATATTATTGATCCCCTGGTGCTCCTTCCCACGCTTCTTATACACCCGCACTTCGCGTGTTGTATCAGTATGATATTGGCTGAAGATACAAAGGTTGTTCATCGTCTTGGTAGCAGCATTCCAGTTGCGGTCAGTCCATATTCCTTATTGCCAATCAATAATTTCTGCTTGCTTTTGTTACTTGAGTTCTCCATGGTGTCTATTGCTATCACCTTTGACATTTTAGTAGTACATGTACTACATTTTTTACCTTCCATTTAATAATGACTCATAAGTTATTGCGAGTACTTAGCCCCTCAAAACAACATTGTACCATATCTGGTATGAATAGCTTGCATGTAGAAATAAGGAGAAAATTAGGTATTATCTTTCAAGTTCACGGTTAAAGAATGGTACTATAAATTTGAACCAATCCTCTCTTCAGTACATTCTGGAAGTATTTACTGGAGACCTCTTTCCAATATTTATTCTTTTAGAAGCATGAGAGAGCACAAATTCAATTGCACAAGTAGTATACAAGAGAGTCATTGTGGACTGAAAAAATCAACGAGAAGTATAAATCATTTGCATCACTTTGAGGAGAAAAACTTATTGGGATTCTCACACCACATCATCATGTTGTTGTAGTGGGACTGTCCAATAAAATATTGTCAAGTGTCGATACTTGGCAAAAAAATATTTAAACATTAAACTTAATAGATTTCAAGAACTTTCCTATGTTTTAGGCATTAGCCGCTAAACAAAAATCTTAAATCGAATTCTCTGCCTGTGTTGCAGTTCTCCATTCAGCTTGCCATCTTCCAGCAGCCATGAATTCCTAATGTTTTATCCTTCACTTTTTTTCTTGTTCAAGCATTGAAATTCAAACCTTTAAATTTTATTTTCCTTTAAGTCACTGGTAGGTCACAGATAGAGAAATCGCCAATAGGGCACCGATAGCAATAGTGTACCTGTGCACTAAGAAACTGGATAGCTTCAATTTCTGCAAATGTTACTCCTCCAATAAAGACTACAACTACAGGGGATCGGCTTTCATCAGCTAATCTAAAACAGGTTTAGTGTTACAATTAAAGTAAATAAGATCCAAAGACCTCAATTATACAGGCTGGAAAATCCAAATTAAAAGTGAAGCTTGGAAAAAGTGTTTTAGTCATGACATTTATTCTCTGTTATGGCAGAATTACTAAGTAATGGAAGAAACATACAAATCAAATGCTTTATGTTCCTATATATGAGAACAAAATAATCGTTTGAGCAGCATCCCAATTTTTTGGTTAGAAAACACTTAGGAGTTTGTGGATGCCCGACGCTTGATGGACAACAGCAACTTTGAGGAAGAACGGTGGCTTTAGGCAGAGAACAGCATGATAGAGATGAAAGAGGGAAAGTAGGATGATGGTTCAAAATTTTCTTTTAGCTGCTAAAAGCCTTAAACATAAGAGAACTGTTTAAGTGATTTAATAGTAGCGTTTAAATTTATTTTTTTTATAATAACTGAGGTATCTAGGCACAATTTCCAACTGAGCCCGCCTAATTCTCAGGGCCACGGAATACCCAACAAGCCCAATGGACCAAGATAATTGCACAATTGTGGTAAGTGTCTCTCCTGAGACTTGAACACAAGACTCTTGGATATAGTTAACTCTAGTGGTTAAAATGCTTGTCATCCGGCCACAAGGGGAGAGGTTAGGGATAATTTTTTTTTTATTGCCTATTTTATTGGACAGTCCCACCACATAAGCATAATGATGTGGTGAGACTGTCTCATGTAAAGTTTTTCTCCATTTTGTGTTCCAATGGTGAAAGTTCTGTGGATATGATACTATCGTTTTCAGAATGCTGACTAGATGACATTTCAGGTTGAAGTTCTTCTCATTGTTTTGTCACCTGTTTTGAGGAGGCATGTTGCTCTTGGTGGAGGTTAGTGTTGAAATCACTGATTGAATTTCATATAAAGTGATGCATTTCTTAATTATGTTTTAAAAAGTATGCGATTGTTTCTGCTTTATTAATATATCGTGGTTTTTCTAGGACTAGTCCTTTAATCCCTCAATGTATTGGGGACAAATTGTAGTGACAAGATTTTCCTTTCTAATTTATCCTGTGCTGTTATATGCCATGGAGTTCATTTCAGCACTTGACGTGAAAATGAATGTTAAACAGAGAAATATTAGCCCTTTATCTAGGTGTTCCCCAAGGTTATTTACCTAAAATGGCATTTCCTGTTCATGTTTTAGTTCCTGAAATTCGATCTGCTGTGATGAAGGATGGTCCTGTGATCACAGATCTTGGTAACGTGGTGGTAGATGTGAGGTAAGTTGCTTTTTAATCGTCTTTCTCTTCTCTAAAGGAAAATTAGGTGCAGAACTTAAGAATGACTCACAGATTTGTTTGAATTGTGGAGCTAGATCTCCTATCCCCTTTGTGACTCTTCTTCTTTCGTCATCTTCTTGAATGATGAACTGTTTTCTCACTACTTGAAACTCCCGGCTCTTCCCCTCCCACACACTCACACACCTCCACTCAGCTCAAAATTTCTTTCCCTTGGACATAAAATAACATGGCATACTTTACACGTATGTATGTTCTCATGTGTTTGATTTTCCCTCGTATTATTTTAGTGGAAATAAGGTTTTCGAAAGGTTCTTGTAGTTTCAATCCTTATGACTATAACTCAACTGCTCATATTTTTTTATCAGCTTTCCAAACGGGATACAGAACCCTTTTGAGCTTGAGAAGAATTTAAACATGATACCTGGAGTGGTTGATAATGGTAAGAAAAGGACTTGAGAACTTGAGCCTTCTATTATTTTCTTGGAGCATGCCATTTCTAGTATTCAGCCTATATTTTCATTTTCTAGACATACATCAACTGCTACCCATATATCATAACTTTTCAGCCCAAGCTTTAATTATTCTATGTATGGATTTTTTCATGACATGATACAGGGTGACCAAAATTCTTGGACCATCGTATTTTCTATAATATAATCCACCTGATAGGGAAAAAAAAAAAAAGAAAAAAAAAAAGGAAGAGTTATTCCAGAAAGTTTCTAATATCATCAGTCCTTTTTACTGTTTCTTTCACCATAAAACTCGATGCAATTCTAATTTTGTCTCTGGGTGAAATCGTTACTTATTTTGCCCGATTATGGTGCAGTTATTGCTACTGGGGTTGCAACAGTTGTACTGGTTGCCGCGGTTAAAGATGGATGTAATGTGAAAGTAATGGATTTGGAAGAGTTTATTGAACTTGTCAAAGGCCGGAGAGATGCTACTTCTACCACATAATAACAGTGCTCTACTTTTGCTGTAATTATCTGGTTATGCGGCTGAGAAAGAGAAGAGGGGATTCTTGTATTATATGAAAGGCTCAATAGGGTAGATTGGCTACAAATTTTTGTGGTTAGTGTATTAATTACAATATCTTCACCCTTATGTAATTAACTATTCCCTATTTTAAGCTATGAGTAATAATAGTTTTACACAGTCAATCTATTGTATCATTAGCAATCAACCATCACCATTATCATTCACATTCTTGTGATAATTAAATATCGATTTTGATTGAAAAGAGTAAACGATTTTTCAACCCAAACAATGGTTTAATGACACTTTTTCACCTACAAATTTTTAAAATATCATTTTACTACTCAAATTTATATTCTGTTTTTTATTTCAGTATCGTTGCGATCTCACACCACTACTATTTTTTTCTTTGATAAACTTTACATTTGCCAACTCTGCTAATCTTGGGCAGTTTTATCTTGTCCAACGGAAACTAGAAGATGCCCGTAGGTGCTTTGAGGTAACATGTATTTGTTGATATTTATTATATCTGGAGTTGCCATTATGTTATGGGGTTCCTTAGCTTAGCTTTTTAGGTTTTTGTACCTCACTAATATTTTTGTGCTTAGTTGTAGGAACTTAATGTCTCTTCCATTGTTGGAGATACTTTTCTTTTGGATTGAGGCAAGAACTTGCAACAAAGAGTTCTGTCGCTAATAATCAAACATCTGAATAGCTGTTTGTATGAGTCAAAAAGTGGCTTTTTCAGGAGCACTTTTTGTTTCCATTTTCCATTTTGAATGTTAATAATCAAACACACTAGAAAATGCATATTACGCTATATCAGAGGTATGCAAGGTGCAGAAACTTAGGCAGCCTGCAGGGTTATGGAGCATAATTGAGCTGCTTTGGTTCTCATTCAAAAATCATTGGCATTGCTTGATATCCTTTAGGTTGAAGGCATTATGATGACTGGATTATAAAGAAAATTTGCTTCAATGGAATCAGAAGACATTGTATTACATTTGATTTTGTGATTTCTCCCTCTTCAGTCTGATTATGGAACATTATGTTTACCTTTTTTGAGAACAAACTGAAAAATATCATTACTTGAAGACACTACAAAGTGTGAACAAGTTGTTGACAAAAGAAAGAATCCATCTAAAGGATCACAAAAGGTCTATACAGTAAAGTTTATCTTTACTATATATGATTGAAAATATCCTTCTACTAATATCACAACTTGTGTTGATGCCTTTTTTTGTTTTTTTGTTTTATGTTGGTGATTTCAACAGCATGCTTTTAAAGGTATGAACCAAAATCAATGTTTGTGATTGTCTTATTAGGCATAACTGTGAAATAACAATCTCAAAATCACCTTATAATCATCCAGATAAAGGGACATGGTAATGTAGACTATGCTGATACCATGTATCACCTTGGGACGGTAATTTATTATTTGTCATTAGTTTTGTTTGACAATTGCCTGAAGAAAAGCTAAAGAAGAAGGCAAAGGTGGACAAAGAAGCATAAATCTGATCATCATGAACCTATCCGACACCATGCTGCCGAAGGTGGATGGCGTGGAATCTCCAATTCCTCTCTAGGATAAACTCGAATCTTTATATGCTCTTAAGTCTGCTCCTAATTTAGCTTTCCTAAAAGGTGCACTGTTTCTTATAAAATGGACCTAGCAAAATCTTTAGATGAAAACTTGAATGAATTCCTAAAAATGAACCTAATCCTAAAAGGTACTAACCAAGAACTAGGAGATTCGAGCCTAGCCATGATCATGTTAACTTCCCTACCAGAAGAGTACCTAGTTGTAAAGAATGCCCTACAGTATAGTGGAATTGTACCTAGTGTGGATTTGATAGTTTCTATTTTAGGGAACTAGAATTAAAGATTCAAAAACAAAATGGTAGTAATTTGTTTGTAAAAGGGAAATTCGATACTAGACAATCTGGTAAAGAAACTAGAAAGAACCCTCAGAGACATGTAGGCTCTAAAAATAGAAAGACTAGTAAGGGGAATGGGAAACCTAAGGGTGAATCTAGGAAGTGTTTTTTTGTAACAAAGCAGGGCACCTTAAAAAGAATTGTTACGAATGGATTAAGAAAAACAAACAGGCCAGTACTGAAACCAATCTAGCCAGCACAAGTAGTAACATAGAGATATCTGAAGCACTTACCATTTCCAATACATCTAGGAGTAATGAGTGGGTGCTAGACTTAGGCTGTACCTTCCACATAGTCCAAATAGAAATTGGTTCCAAAGACTTAAAATTGGGGAACAAGAAACAGTATTCATGGGCAATAATCACTTATGTGAGGTTCAAGGCATAGGTGACATGACCATTAGGCTGAATAATGGTAAGTTGGTTCTGCTCACTAGGGTTAGATATATACCTAAACTTAAACATAACCTAATTTCACTTGGAACCTTAGATGAATTTGATTGCTCCTATAAAGCACAAAATGATTGCCTAGAAGTGTACAAAAATGGAAATGTGTTGATTAAGGGTGTTAAGAAAAATGGTCTTTATATCTTATGTGGGCAATACTATCCTGATGTGCTTAATTCTTCTTTACTTTCCACTAATGTATCTACTGCAGAGAAATGACATTTGAGATTGGGCCACATAGGCCAAAATGGCATGAATGCATTGAAACATCAGGGTTATTTTGGTAATGATCATGTGTCTGCTTTAAATTTTTGTGAAACATGTGTCCTTGGGAAACATCATAGGATGAGTTTCCACAAAGGAACTCACCTTGCTGCAAATTGCTTAGACTATGTGCTTGCTGACCTTTGGGGTCTAGAAAAGGTCAAGTCACACGGAGGGAACATGTATTTCCTCTCCATTGTTGACGATTACAATATGAAGGTATGGGTATACCTTCTCAAGACTAAGGACGAAGCCTTGACTAAGTTCAAAGGCTGGAAAACCCTGGTCGAAACCCAATTAGACAGAAGAGTCAAAGCACTTAGGACAGATAATGGGTTGGAGTTCTGTAACCTAGAATTCGATACTTACTATACCAATCAGGGGGTATTAAGACCATCTCCAACCCATTGCACCAAATTGGTGCAAAATTGCACCAAATTGGTGCAAAATTTGGTGCAAAACACTATTCCATCTCCAACCCACAACACCAAATATTGCACCAAAAAGAATATTCCTTAGAATATTCTTTAGAATATTCTTTTTTTCTTTTATTGTAATAATCAACAATTAATCTATTTCACTCATTATTTTTGTATATATTAATTAAATATTGGGAATGATATTTTTATTAAATAATAATTATTTTGAAAATTATACTAATTTAATAGAATTAAGCATTTATTTAATCAAATAAATATTACATTTAATATAGAAAAACATTACATCTAATATAAAATGATACAAAAAAAAAAAAGATGTGTTATCTATTCAAGTTTTTTTCAATATTTTGATGATCTTACTGGATCCGAAACTAATCTACCGGAATACTAAATTGTTATTTTAGTTTATGTTGTATTTTCTTTTAATTTTAGTGTTTTTAAATTAGTGTTAATTTTTATTTTGAGTTATTGTAGTTTAATATTTGCATTGAATAAAGTTCTATTTTTAATTTTTCATCATTTTTTAAATTATATCATTATTATAAATTTATTATTATAAATAATAATCAAATTAAATTAAATACAAATACTCAAATTTGGTGTGATTTTTGGTGTAAAATTTAATACTCAAATTAACTTAACAAAATTAAAAAAAAACAAAAAAACAAAAAAACCAAAATTAAAAAAAATATAAATTTTTTTGCTACAGTACCGCGCCATTTTGGCGCAGTGCTACAGTGCTGCGCCAAAATGGCGCAGTGTTTAGCGTGGGTTGGACTGCCAACCCACGCCAATTTGGTGTTTTTTGCACCATTTTGGCGTGGGTTGGAGATGCCCTAAGGCATAAGACTGTCAAGGCTACCCCACAACAGAATGGGGTTGCAGAGAGGATGAATAGAACTCTCTTAGAAAGGGTTAGGTGCCTTCTATTTATTGTTGGTCTATCCAAAACTTTTTGGGGAGAAGCCCTAACCACTGCAGCCTACTTGATCAATAAGAGCCCCTCAAGTTCAATAGGCTTTAAGTGTCCGGAAGAGAGATGGTCAGGAAGGAGACCAAATCTAAACCACCTAAAGGTCTTTGGGTGTGCAGCATATACACACACAAGATGGTAAGTTAGAGCCTAGGTCCCTTAAATGTGTTTTTTTAGGGTATCAAGAAGGGACCAAAGGCTACAGGTTGTGGGAAAGGGATGCCCCAAAGGTTAGGGTTATAATCAGTCGGGATGTAGTCTTTAATGAGATCATGTTTCCTTACAAGCTTTCTAATGACAATGCAAGTAAGCCAAGGAATGATCCTGAAATGCTTGATCAAACTGAGAGATCTCAGTTTGAGGTAAAGCCAACAAGCCTGACAGAACATCCTGAACAACCAGAAGCCTTTGAACCACCAAGTCCCACATTGCCAAACAATGGGAACCAAGATGAAGAAGAGGAACAGCCTGAAAAAATTGATGAAGCCTAGAATGAAAACCTAGCAGAATATCAGTTAGCAAGAGACAGAGTTAGGAGGTAGATAAAGCCCCCTAACAGATATAGCTATGCTGACTTAATCTACACTGCCCTTGTTACTAGGGTAGAGATACTAAGG